CACTTCCTGTTCAGCTCCCTGTTTGTGGCCTGGGGAAGCAATCGAGGATAGCCAAAAGCCTTGGGATCCTGTACCCGCTTGGGAGACCCAGAAGAGGCTCCTGGCTCCTGGCTGCAGATTAGCTCAGCTCTGGCCATTGCGATCACTTGGGGAGTGCATCAATGGACGAAAGATCTTCCTCTCTGTCTTTCCTCCTATCTGTATATCTGACTGAGCAATAGAAATAAATAAGCCTTTAAAAAATGAAAAAGATAAGAAAGGCAGGAGAAGGAAGAGTGAAAATGGGGAAGAGCAGGTGGGAATTATCATTATTCACGTAAAACTCCATATATGGGGCCCGGCACAGTGGCCTAGCGGCTTAAGTCCTCACCTTGAACGCCCCCGGGGTTCCCATATGGGCGCCGGTTCTAATCCCAGCAGCCCCACTTCCCTTCCAGCTCCCTGCTTGTGGCCTGGGAAAGCAGTCGAGGACGGCCCAAAGCCTTGGGACCCTGCACCCGCATGGGAGACCCAGAAAGAAGTTCCTGGCTCCTGGCTTGGGATCGGCGCAGGACCGGCTGTTATGGCCACTTGAGAAGTGAATCATAGGCTGGAAACTCTTCCTCTCTGTCTCTCCTCCTCTCTGTACATCTGCCTTTCCAATACATAAATCTTTAAAAAAAAACTCTATATATGAAATTTATATCATTGGTTCTCTTTATATAAATAAAACCGTTTTCAAATTTAGAAGCGCCTCTTATGATCAGGTGTGGGACTTCTAGAATGAGTAATAAAGAGTTTGAAAATCCCCTCCACAAAACAATGAAATCTTTTTTTTGGTAAGAGTGAAACATTTAAATGAAACTTAGGAAATGTGTTTTTTAAATAAGTAATTTAAAACCTCTAGAAACCATTCCAAGGGAAAGACAACAAATGGCAGATAGGGAAACAATGAAAACACTCTACTAAGCTTTGCTAAGAACATTGAGAGTCCATGATTTTTTGTTTTTGTATTTTAATCATTAATTTTTTCCTCAACCAAAATTTATTGCTTTTCTAGAGTGCATCATGAAAAGTGCTAACAATATACAACTTTCTGAGAATATATTCATAGAAATATGAGGCTTCACACAAGCATCCTTTGACATAGTCACATTCTAAAGAAACTTTATCAGTTTACATTTATTGATTTATCAAATACATTCTACAATAGTTGCATAAACTCTCAATTTTATCATAATAGATGTTAGCACTGTAGAAAAATAGAAAGTACAGAAAGGAAGAAACCAATCTAAGAACCAAAATTTTAAATAGATTTGCAATCTCACCTTTAAATATAATTTTAAATATATGCAAATTACATAGCAACATATTTTGTTTGCTTGATTGGCAAAGATTGAAAAATGTGATCAAGTGTTCACATGAGTGTAGCGGAATGAATAACTTCAGACACTGTTCTTAATGTGCAAAGCTGGTCCAACCTTTCTGGAGGACAACTGTTTCAAAAGGTTTAATGAGCAAAGTTTTTGATTCAGAAATTTCACTTTAAAAATTTTTCCAGAGTAGATATGTAGAGCCACCTGTTAAGATATCACAGGACATCTGTATTCTATAACTCTCAGAAATGGAGTCCTAGCCCTGCTTCTGATTCTGCTACCTGCAAACTTGCACCCTCTATGACAGCAGGTGATGATGCTTCAAGTATTTAGGTCACTGTAGTCAACATGGATGACCTGGACCAAGTTTTGGGCTCCTGGCTTTATCCTGAGCCAATCCTTGCTGGTTCAGGGCATCTGGAGTGAACTAGCTGATAGAAGATTCTCTTTATCTCTCTTTTCATATAGATAATTTAAAAAACAGAAATTTCCCCTAAGAATTGAATATACAGTGCACAAATATGCCACAAAGACAATTCTTCTGTGAAGGATTCTTTGTAATAAGAAAGCTTAGGTTCAGTTTAGTAATCCTTGTAACAGAGCTCTGTATGTTCTGTTAGTAATACCAATTGATTTCTTGTACATTTTAAGAACTCCCCATATTGTAAAATGTACCCACAACCCAAAACAGACCAGCTCTAAAACAATGCCAACCTCTACTGAGTGATTTAAAAGGAACCTTAAATAAATAAGGTGAAGAAGATCCATGCTGGCTAGTGAGAAGAATTACTATGCCTAACTATGCTCCTTTACAACTCAAATCCCACAAGGAAGTATTAAGAGACCCTGTAAGGGTCCTATAGATTTTGAAGGGGAAAGATGATTCTTTCAAATTGTTTACAGCAATGAATGAACAACATTTGCTTTAAAGGGAGATCCATATGCAAAATAGGCCTTAAAGTAATTGAAATGCGTATACAATGTAAACACATACCAGGCATAAACCTCATTGCTTAGAACAGGAGATGCAAAAGCATATACTTGTGTAATCAAATGATAGTTATTGAGAATGTTAGAGTATCAAATTAGTGGAATGAAATATAGACCTTCATTAAAGGGTTAATTGCCTATTCACAAATAGAAGTAAAATATTAGACACAAAATTACCAAGAAATCATAACTTCAGTTAACACAGATAACTAAATGATAATTTAACAAAGCCTTAAAACACATTAGAAGAACACATTAGAGATTTTTACAAGCTTGGGGTGAAGTTTTTCGTTCATGAGGGACATATGACTATAAAGGGAAAAGACTGACAGAATAGATTTCATGACACAATCCATGATTTTTAAGCTACTTTCTCTGCTAATCCCCTTCCACTGTTCCATGCTAGTGTGTTGAAACGTGTTCCCTGGAATTTTTTCCGTAAAACAGTGTGTAGATGTGATTTAACAATGCAGATGCCAGGGTGACTTTAATAATGCAAGAAAGCAAAATGTTTAGGAGAAAGAGTTTTTAAATAAAAGCTCAGGAATGAGATGTCCATAGAGAGATTTGTGAAAGGCTGTAATACATCCTTTGGAATATAAAGGCTACAAACATGTATAGGGTTCTGTACCCAAAACTACATATGGATAACAAAAGATCAGAAAAACCAAGCATCATGATTAGTTAATCTTAAAACTTTCACCAGGAATTGAAGGCTAAAACTTTGCTATAAACTGCCTACCAGAACATTGGGCATGTTTGAACACATAGAGCCTCTCTGTGAAGACTTGGATTTTATTACTTCCAGGAAATTTAAAAAAAACTTTTTTTTTTTTCAGTTGTTGGCTAATCAGCAGGTAAGCAGAGATCTCAGTGGCCAAGCATGGAAAGAATACAGACTTTATGGAATAAAATAGTACAAAATTCACTAAGTGAACAAGTATCAACAGCAAGTAACAATAACAATGAAAATCTGGTCAGGGAGAATTAAATTTTCACATTGTACTAAGTGACAAGTTTTCTATAAAATATTATGGGAGATGCAAATAAACAAGTAAGTTGCTTGTAATGGGAGAAGGAACTCAATTTCAACTCTCTACTGAGCGACACAAATTTTATATGATTGCACAACCCTTACCTTGGCTGCTTTAAATATGTTCGAAGAGCTGAATAAGATCATGATTATGGAACTAAAGGAAAGCATGATGCCTTCTCAAATAAAAATATCAATAAAGAAACAGAATCTATTTTTTGAAGAACCAAAGAAATCCTGAATCTCAGGGGCAAGCATTTGGTCTGGACCATATTGCAGACTGGGTTCAATTCTATCTTCTACTAAAGATTGGATGCAACTGGAAACCACTTGGTTTAGTGAAATAGGCTAGTTTCAAAATCACAAATACCATATGTTTGCCTTGATTTGTGATAAATACGCGGAATGAAAAAATGTGTATAATCTGTGTGAGTGAGACTGACATTTTGAGGTTTGATTATTGTTTATAGTTTTTATCTATACTCTTGAGAAACAGTAGGGTTTATTGTTACTTGTTAGTTGTTGAATTCCTTAAGTAATGGAGTGCTAAGCCTATGACTGCGAAGTGAATTGAAAGTATGCCATTGTAAAAATCTTTTAAAGAAATAAGGATGGGAGGAGGGTGGGTGGGCAATGCAAACAGGAGGGTAAGTTGGGAAGTATTACTCTGCTCTGTATTGTGAATTATGCAAAATTTATTCACTTCATATAAATAATGGAAGTTAAAATATAAATATATATGATATATTAAAGAAAGAAACCAGCATGGTATTTCCTCAAAAAGTTCAACAGTTTCATGTGATTTAGCAATTCCACTCCTAGGAGTAAACTAAAAAATAATGAGGACACATCCAGCACAAACTTGTAAATAGATATTCATAGCTATATAATTATGTAACAAAGACTGAAAACCCAACCATAATGTTCATTAACTGATGAATAGTTAAAATGTTTTATATTCACAAAATGGCAAAATATTAAGCCACTGACACAAAGCAAGGATACAACTTCAAAACCTGAACAATGAAAAAGTCCAGTCACAAATGACTATGTATTGTATTCTTTCATCTGTATCAACTATCCAAAGTATGCTTTTGCTCAGACTATTTATCGTTATTTTCTATTTTTATATAAATTGGCTAGAATATAAGCTGTAATTAAACTACTACTATGAAGGGAGACACAGTTCAAGAATGAAGTATATACAAGAAACAGCTGAGATCAGATATAGAAAAATGTATGAAGATAAGTATTTTGAGCATACAAATACATGCAGACATCAAGCAATTCCAATGAAGTAAATTTAATAGTACCAGGTTTAGGCTGAGTGTCCACTACCTATCATGGAAGAGTTTTAACTTACACGCTTATTCAAACATATGCTTACACATGTTTCACTTTCACAGTATTCAATACATCATAAATGTTAAAACAACATACTATAGAATGTCTTTGAATTAGCATTGTCTTTTTTTGCAAATAATCCTTCTTCACTAAAATGATTGGCCATCAGAAAACATCAAACTCTCTCCAGGGCCATACTTATATAAATATAAGTTAAACATTTAATAACATATGTATGCAACTATGTCATATTCAAATTTCATTTTAAAATACATTACTTTTTGGTAGTAATAGTAGTCCTTGCAGCACTGGAGGGTTGGTTATGAGATGAATATATTTCTTGTCTCAATTTTGAGAGCTCCTTGAAAACAAAAGACAATATTTTGAAGTAAAGTAGAAACACACAAAAATGTTTGATCATTTAGAAGTTTCCCGAGAATAATTATTTCCCACATTTCTATCTGTATTAGCCTTGAGGTAAGGAAGTCTGAATCACGGTTGCTAAATATTATTCAGTACTGTTTCACAGCATCTAAGAAGCTCTATTTTATATCTATGCAAGAACTCACCAACTGATGTAGGAAATCTGTATTTGGAGGATAATTTGAGATTGAATGTGCAGAGCTCACATGACAAAGATTGAAAAATTTTATCCTAAAATTTTGAAAGGTATAGAAGTGGCAGAAATGTAATAAAATATCAGTATGGAAGAAGGTATAGATTCCTATCAGGTTTATAATTGAATATTACTATAAATATCATTTCTTCTGTAATCCACCAATTTTGGTAGTTCCTTCAAGATCTATTGTATGCCAGATCTTGTGCCACATGTTACACATAACCAGAAACAGTGAAACAGTGATCTGATGAAGCAACTTACAATCTAGCAAAAAGCTCATGGTCATATTTGGAGCCGCATTGCTAGATGAGATACAACATCAATTTAAACATAGCATTTATTTTATTTAAACCCACAAAAGGGTTCCACTGGGTTTATTTCTCCTAAAATATGAATCTTTACCTTCTCCAATGTCCTAACATTCTGTTTTGTATTACAAAATGAGTTCTGAAAACACGTGTCTTAATAAGCCGAGAAAATATTTTTCCTGAAAATTGATTTGCATTTTCCCTCTTCACTCATTTTTAAAGACATTTTAACTGTTTTGAAAGGCAGATTTACACAGTGAGGAAGAGGGTCATACACAAAAAGAATATTTCCAACTGCTGGTTCAGTACCCAGATGGCTGCAAGACCCGGAGATGGGTCTGGTTGAAGCCAGGAAACACATGCTTCTTTCTTGCCACAGAGAACCAAGCACTTACGGCATCTTTCACTGCTTTCCCAGCCACATTAGCAGGGAGCTGGATTGGAAGCGGAATAGCAAGGACTCAAACCAGCACCCATATGAAATGCTGTAGTTACAGACAGAGGCTTGGCATGCAAGACCATAATACCACTTTCACTGCTTTCTTACCTCTGACTGCCGCTTTATCAGAGAATCTTTTTCTTCAAGCAAGCTTGTCAGTTCATGAAGCTTGAACTGGAAGTCACTACAACTTCCTTCTCTTCTTGAAACATCCTTTTGATACTGGTTTAATTGAGACTAACAATTTAAAAAGAAACAATTTTATTAGGACTTTTATTTATAACTGCTAAAACTGAGGTTTACTGATACAAGTACATAACTATGAAAAGGAATGTGTGATATTTGTTAACTTCCATAGAATTTTATGAGAATAAAATATGAACAGAAATGCTAATGAGGAATTTCTAACTTTGTACAAGGAAAGATTCATTTATTCTAAAGTCACCACTATAGAGAGACAGGGAGAGACAGAGAGATTTTCAATCTACTGGTTCATTTCCCAGATGGTTGCAATGGCCAATGCAAGGCCAGGCCAAAGTCAGGAGCCACGAGCTAGGAGTCACATCCAGGTCTCCCACATGGGTCCAGATGCACACTTAGTCCAACATTGTTGGCTTTTTCCAGGCCATTATCAGGGAGCTGAATCAGAAATAGAGCAGTTGGGGTATAAACTGGGCTCATGTGGGATGTTGGCATTGGAGGTGGTGACCTTACCTGCTATGGTACAATGCCAGACATAGGAATAGCTAACTTTTTTTTTTAAACAAAAGCCAGGGGAGAGCATGGATGCAGTTCCCCACTAGCACAAATTATGCAGTCAAGTTTCCCACATTCGGGGAAATCGCAGGGGTAAGCACATCCCAAGTTCGATGGATGAGCCTCACCCTGGGAAAACCACCTGCTTGATCATGGCATTTCCCTTGCCAAGTAAGTATGGAATAGCTAGCTTTTTAACTGATCTATTTACTTATTTTCAAAGGTCTAGAGAAACTCAGAAATTGAGAGAGACAGATAGAAATGTTTGATCCACTGGTTCACTCCCCAAATGTCCCCTGCAGCTGGGCAGAAATTCATTCAAGGTCTCAGCATGAATGGCAGGAATCCAACTCTCTGAACTGTCATCTTTTTCCTCCCAGGGTGCACATTAGCAGAAGGCTGGAATTGGGAACACAGCCAGGACTGAAATAGAGGCATTCTGATATATGGGATACTGCCACTGTCAATTGTTTGCTCCAGTAATTTCTCATGTTTAAAAAATGGTCTTTACTATTTAGTACTAAGCATCAATCAACAGTCTTGAACCACAAGAGTTAAAATAAAGGTAAGAAACATGTACTTTAGACGTCTTCAAATACTGAGGGATCCTCAGTACTAATAACTAATATTATCTGGTCATTTTCAGCTCACAAATTACTCCTCCAGTAAGAGTGATGTCAGTTCTCACAGCGTCCCTGAGAGATAAGCATTACAACACTCACCTACAAAACGTGTAAATGCATTCCAGAGAGATTAGATGACATGCAATCATACAATAACAGCTGTGACTGCCAAGTTTTCTGACAACAGATATTACCCATATTCCTCTTGACCACATATTTGTACATAAATGGATGTTAGGTTATTACTAATAATGAAAAGGAAAGCAAACCAGGGCACCATATCTATTGACGCATTGGTAGGCTTTTTCACAAATTGTGTTTTATTTCATTTCTGTTTTCAACAAAGATTACAGTGATACTGAGAGAGAGAAATCTACCACCATTTGGCCTATTAAATATTTAAATATGTTTGACTACAATTTAGAAATCAATAAATTAAGGTTTAAACTACATCGATTCAACCTAGGGTTACAAGAAAAGTTTATTCTTTTGAATGTCCTAATTTTAACGGCCATTACAGGCACATAAAATTCAATAAGCTTTTCATTCTTATTCTTGATGAAGTCCTTGATGCCTATTATCCCTCAAGTTTATTTGAGGATTTTTATGAATCCAACAGCCTACATAAGCATGCTTTAGGTAATATCATAAAGGGACCTCCTCCTTCATCCTCAAAAAGCTTTATAAAGACATTAACATGGAAATTTCTTTTTACTTTCTTGTAGAAGATAAAGCTAAATATTCACAATGAAATGTATTTTGAAGCAAGAAATGCAATCCTCACTTAGCTAGCTCAGTCAGGGTTGTGGGTTCAAGGCCCACATTAGGTGTGGGAACTTTTGGAAGTAAAGATTTTATTTCATATTCCTGAAAGTCTACCTTCAGATGATTTATCCTTGTGACTTAAAGCTCAAAATTATCCTTATGCTTTAGAAAATTTGTGCAACCCCATGTATTAATTCAATGTGGGATCAACATACCCTTAGTTTGCAGATCTCTCTATCTTTTTCCAGTCTCAAGTTTTTTACCATCTCCATGTAATGGCTGCCAATCTCATCCATTTTAGCCTGCAGCACAGGGCCTGTGCAAGTCTCAGAAACCTGTAAAAGACAGAATAATTTTTTGTAATTGAAATGCTACAAAGGTACCACATATGTACGATTTATTATTAGATGAAAAGTATTTGCATAAATAAGACATTGATATGGTAATCATTTTGAGAAAATACATTATAAGTGTCAAATGTCAGTGAGGGTAGACCTAATGGAATGCAAGTCATCAGAAAGCCATCTATGCATTTTCTCAAGGTGAATAGGATATGAGTGTATATATCTATTTCTATTATTACCAATGCTAAAATTACATTGATATGATTAAAGTAATGCTTTAAGTTTAAAATAAAAATTTTAATACCTGTATTCTAAGGTTTTTATTCTCTTGTTCTAAGTTACGTTTACAATATTCCAGTTCTTTTAGTCTGTATTCCATGTCTGACAGTGTATGTCGGAGAGAGAGATTGGTTTCTTCCAATGCCTGACATTTTGAGTTTGAGTCTTGAAGCCCTTGCTGTAAAAAAGACACAAATACATAATACTTTCCATGGGAAAATTTTCTTGTAACTAACATATTACGTCAAATCCACTAAATACTTTACTGTGCTTAATTTTCTTATATTGCTGTCCTTAAACGGCATATTAAAAATCCACATAAAACATTAATTTCACTTGACTATATTGAGTTGGAAAAAGCCAATTCTAGATGATTTTTCAATGTCCAAATTCAGCACTTTGTTGCTACTATTTTACAATTATGTGTCCTGTCTTGCAGTAGGCATCAAAATAACCAGATGTGTGATCATACATGTTATAACTAGAGTGTGATAGTTATGACAGCGACAATTGGGAAGGGGTGAGTCTTAGAAATCCATTACAAAATTCCAAGAACCATCTCTGCTCAAAAACCTGAAGAAATTTTCTAGAATTCACTCTCTTCTTCATTGCATAAATCTAGGTTTACAACAGCTTTTCTTTTTGGGCATGTTAGTAATTTAAATGAGAAAGTAAACATAGAGCTTGAATATTTACACTATTCTTGTCCCCAAACAGATATATTGTGCATCCTATGAAACACAGTACCATACATATTTCGTATTTAAAATATGTAAGGTTATCTGTTCTTTCTAGGTTGCTTTCAGTCATCAGAGATTCAAAGTCACTCAATTCCATAAGAACAAATAGTTCTATCTAGCTCTATCATATATTAATTCTGTCTGGATCAAATTTCATAAATCTAATGTGCCTACAGTAGTGCATATGAAAAGCTATCACTCTAGTTTATCATCAAAAGCACCAATTTACTTGTTGCTGGCGATTATTTGCTCTCACTGATGCCAAGAGTTCTTCATACTCTTTCATTTGAGTTTCTTTGAATGCCAAGTCTTTTTCAAGTCGCATCTTGTCATTTTCCAGTGACTAGAAACAAAATATAGATATTATGGCTCCAAATTACAGAAGCTTGTCAACAGTCACATGTTATAAAACTCGTAAAGTTAGATCAAATACTTGCTTTTTTTTTTAACTTTATAGTTGCTTAATAAAGCAGGATTCTCAGAAGTTAAGCAAAATACAGGATATAAAAGGATTGAAACTTTTAAAACCTGCATTGAAAAGAAACATTTTAATGGATAGAACAACTTACATGTAATGAAGCAGAATCTTCTGAATACTTTCAAGTTTTTTCAATCAATAAAGACTGTTTGTTAATTACACCAGGTTGTGAATTTTCACATTAGAGTTTAAATATAGTCATCAAAACCCAGAAACCAAAACCACTCCAAAGTACTCAAGAAATAATCCATTGTATGGAAAGTGTTCTGAATATAACTAGCTAATGGTACCAAAAAGACCGATTAAAATACAAAATAGAAAAGGATAAGTTCTTGGAGGAGTGTTCAAGTTATTTTCTTTCAAGATAAATTTAGAGTATGCTTTCTTATTAAAGAAAAGGGGAAATTTCCTATTCAGAGAATCACCTTATTCTAATTTTGCAGGCTACTCTTCATCTTTAAGCATTGAATTAGTTTCTGGTAAACTAAGTAAGTGCACATCCAACATTTTTAAAATTTACACACTGGACAGCTCTTTTCCTCCTTCAAGCTTGATGAACTATTTTAGGAAAATAATTTAGCCATGTCTGGGTGAGCATATACTGATTTGCTGTGTTAAGTTGTTAAAATTGTACATGGAATGTCCTGGTTTCTGCTATGTAGCTAGGAATCAGAAAATATTTGGAAGTAAAAAACCAAAATAAATTTTACTGTCAAGTCATTTTGAAGATGTCCAAGTTCCTCTCGTATGTTGCTGAAGGTAGACAGGACTAGCCGGAGTGACTTATCAGACATACTCCTCATCTGGAGGAAGAAAATGATTGGTAGTCTATATTAACATTTGAGAATAGACAATGTAAATAAAAGTAATCTAATTTTTCTGTTCCTAACAGCAAACTGATGAATGATTTTGGTTTTGTCAATAAATGCTGGCAAAGACATGGGGTGGTGGGGCTGGGGCAGAGACACCCTAGTCAATTGTTGGTAGGAATGTATACTAGTACATGCATAATGGAAGATAATATGGAGATTCCTGAGAGATATGAAAATAGGTCTCTACCAGATGACCCAGCCATCCCAGTTCTGGAAATGCATCCAAATTAAATTAAATCAGTACATGAGAGAATTATTTGTACCTCCGTGTTTATTGCAACTCAGTTCACAGTAGCTAAGATATGGAATCAGTCCAGAAAAGTCAGAAGGACAAATGTAAGGTGTGTGTGTGTGTGTGTGTGTGTGTGTGTGTGATATCCAGCATTTGATATGCTGTACAAAAGTGAATAGGAATGAAAATGGACACTTTGGGATATATTTGTCATTTTCAGCCCATGTGTATACGCCAATGCAACTGTGGTCTTCCTACTTTTTACTTGTCAAATGGTATGATTAGTGCAAAATTAAGCCTGTAATTATGGATTAGATTAAAACTGCCTTTGGAAAAAAATGATGGAGCTGGGAGGGCAGGGAAGAGATAGGAAAGCATATTGAGGGGAAGCAAGCAAGTAAGGGAAGATTGGTTGTCTTCTTGAAGCTGTATCTTTGAAATGTATTTATTTTTACTCTCTTTATATTAAGAAATTTAAAAATAGTTTTAAAATGTCAATATTAGAATAGCAATATGTTTTTAAAATAATATGCTTAAGCAATATACTTGAAGAGAACATAGCTATGTATTCACATTGATTTTATTATTTTTTGTGATAAAGCATCACCTTAAAACATTTTTAACTTTATTTTTTCTCAAAAAAGATTAAGAGTGAGGAAATAGTCAACTTAAAAGATTTGTTTTGTTGAAAAGCGAAACAGAATCTTTCAGACAGTGGGTTACTCCACAAGTGACTGTAATGGCTACCGCTAGACCGTTCCAAGTCAGGAGCTGGAACCTTTATTCGGTGAAAAGAATACAACACTGCTTACCATCGCAGACAAACCACCAATGGATAGGCTACAAAGTGTAATGGAGAGGACACAAGGAATAATCAATGAACTTAAAGGAAGACAATAGAAAGTACACGTTGAGTATTAGAGAGAAAGTTGATTGGAAAAAAAAGAACAGAGCTTAGGGACCTATGCAGTAAAAAATTATCTAACATTTATGTCATTGTCCCATAAGGGAAGGAGAAAGAGAGTAGAACTAAAAAATAAAATGCAAAGAAACAATGGCTGAGTAGTCCTCTTAAATTAGAAAAACATCAACATTTATGTTCAAAAGCTAAGCAAATCACCCTTTAGAAATGATGGGGGAAGCTTTTAAAAAAAAGCTTAAAAAAAGGTAGAAATATTTTTTCACTAACAGAAGAAGAGCAAAAGGATGTTCTCTAAAGAGAAAAAATGATCAAAGAATTGAGAATACTAGAAGGGAGAAGATGCTAAGCAAAGACACAATGTATTTTTTCTCTTGAGTTTTCTAAATTACATTTGGTAAAATGAAATACTATTAACTAGTTCATTTCTCAATATAGGTACCTAAGGAAAATGTAAAGCAATTATAAATTTGTAGGACAAAGAGAGGTAAAACAAGTTTTAATATTTCTTTGAGACTGGTGCAATGTTGATGTCAGTAGAGTAGGATATGTGAAGGTTATATGATGTAATAGCTACTGCAATCATTGAAAGAACCACACTGAGCGGTGCACTCAAAACAGCAGTGACAAATGAAAATGAAATTTTAAAACATGTTCAAGTAATCCACAGGGAAATAGGAAGAAGAAAATAAAAAATAGGAAAAAGAAAATCAGTTCAAGTTCTAAATAGCAGTAATTGAAGTTTCACCAAATAAACCAATTAAAACCTTGATATTCATATAGCAGATAAAGGAAGAGGCAGTCCAAGTGGGCATTGTGGAACAGTGAGTTAAGCTGCTGCTTGGAAAGCCCCCATTCCATATACGAGTTCTAGCTACTCAGTTTCTAATCCAGCTCTCTGCTACTGTTTCTGTGAAGCAGCAGATAGGGGCTCAATACTTGAGTCCTTGTCACCTATGCAGGAGACTCTATGGAGCTACTGGTTTCTGGATTACATTTGCACTAGCTCTATACTCTTCCTTGTAGTCATTTGGGGACTGAACCAGTGGATGGAGGATCTCTCTTTCTCTCGTTCGCTCTCTCTTTTATAGGAATAAATTAATGAATATATATATATATTAAAGATTTATTTTTTATCCTAAAGGCAGATATCCAGTGAAAAGGAGTTATATAGAGAAAATTTTTTCACTGATTCACTGCCAGTCTGCTGGAGCTAAGCTGATCTGAAGCCTGAAGCCAGAAACCAGGAGCTTCTTCCAGGTCTCCTACATGGATGCAGGGTTGCAAGGCTCTGGGCTCTCCTCTACTGCTTTCCCCTATAAGCAAGGAGCTATACGGGAAGTGGAGCAGCCGGAATATGAGCCAGTGCTCATATGGGATACTGGCACATGCAAGGTAAGGACTTTGGCTGCTGCATTCAGCCCATGAATGAAAAAAATTTTTTAAAGATTTATTTATTTATTACAAAGTCAGATATACAGACAGGAGGAGAGACAGAGAGGAAGATCTTCCATCCGATGATTCACTCCCCAAGTGAGTGCAATGGCCAATTCTATGCCGGTCCGAAGCCAGGATCCAGGAACTTCCTCCAGGTCTCCCATGCGGGTGCAGGGTCCCAAAGCTTTGGGCCGTCCTGGACTGCTTTCCCAGGCCACAAGCAGGGAGCTGGATGGGAAGTGGAGCTGCCGGGATTAGAACCGGCGCCCATATGGGATCCAGGTGCGTTCAAGGAGAGGAGTTTAGCCGCTAGACCACGCCGCTGGGCCCATGAAAAAAATTTTTTAAGGTGCTCCAATTATGTGTTTTATGGAAGAAACTTTTTCAGGGGCTGCTATCGTGGCATAGTGGGTTAAGCTTATCCCTGAAATGCTGGCATAGCACTGCAGTGCTATTTCAAGTCCTGGCTGTTCCACTTCTGATCCAGCTCCCTGTTAATGCATCTGAGAAAAAACAGTAGAATATGGCCTGAATGCTTGGGCTCCTGCGAGCCATGTATGAGACTCAGAGTTTCTCATTCCTGGTTTTGTTCTGATGCAGTCCTGTCCATTGCAGCCATTTGGGAAGTGAACTAGCAGAGGGAAGATCCTCTTTCTTTCTCTCGTACTCTCTCTCTATTGGCTTCTTTTCTTCTGTGCCTACCTCTCTTTCTGTAATCCTGTCTTTCAAATGAATAAATTTTTAAAATTCAAAAAAGAAAAGTTACTAATTTCAAATTTAATGAATATTGCTTGTATTCATATAAATATATGTATACATACCCATTTAAGGAGAGTAAAAGTTTAGGGAGATATAACACACATTTTAAAAAAGAAAATGGGATGGCTATGCTGACATTAAATGAAATCCAATTCAGAACAAAGAAAATTATCAAGGACAAGGAAATATCACACAATGATAAAACTTCAATATGTCAAGGAGACACCTCATTCTCAAATTCTTATGCACAAAATTACAGAGCTGGAGAATCCTAGTAATGTCCCTCAGGAAGAATTAACAGTTAATCTATAATCTTTTTCAGAGAAATAGAAAAGAAATAAGCACTTGCCACATTACTTTTTTTGTGGGCAGAGTGATTCTGGTAAAATACCAAAGAGAATTTTAAAAAAGAAAAGAGTGCATTGATGTCTCTCATGAACTTAAATATCAAAATCCTCACAAACTTTTTTTTCAAAAGAATAAAGTTAAAATGAACTTTACATGGATGTCTCATTACCAGGAATGTTATAAAGGATGTATCACAGATTCAGGTTCTGAAGAGTGTGTGATCTTCCACACCTCCATCTCTTTATAATACAGACTGTGTGCCTCTAAAAGTAACATCCCACTTATGTTTCACCAATGTGACACTGCAATCAATATAATCAACACAGGTCTGAGACCAAATATCACACTTAGAAACTGACCTCACCAGACAAAGCTAGATTGTCTTTATAATCCTTTCTTGAAAATATATGTAAGCTTCCTTTTAAAAGCAGACATATTTTTATTTATTTGATAAACAGAGAAAGAGAGAGAGAGAGAGAGAGAGAGAGAGAGAGAGAAATAAATTGCCTCAAAGTGCGGTAATCTCATGGAAAGCCATGAGTCTAGATTTTCATCTAGGTCTCCCACGTGGATCGCAGGACCCAAGTACTTGAGTCATTTTTGGTTGCCTTTCCAGGAGTATAAACAAGGAGCTGGATCAGAAGCCGAGAAGATGGAGCTGACTCGACGTGTTCCCAGTATGTTAACCTGCTGCACACCAACACAAGCCCCAGTGCATATAGTAGTTGTCATCCTTAGCATCTGTGTTGACATATTGTCTCTCCTCATCATAGGATACTTTGCTGTGATTGTCTCTAGCTTCTACTGAGGAAAAGTATTATATTGTCTTATCTTTTTCACCCTGGTGATGTGTTTGGGTGGAGTAGATAGTAGAATGGAGAAGATTACTGCAGCAACTATGAGGCAGAGTCAAGCTGTACTAAAGCATCGAAGCGTGGATAAGGTGATTCTACAGTGAAGGTCAGTGTTTTAAAAGATTGATTTATTTATTTTAAAGTAATACAGAGAGAAGAGAGAGAGAGAGACAGAGACAGGTCTTATATTCACTAATTCACTCCTTAACTGGCCTCAGAGGCTGGTTTCAGGAACCAGGAACAACTTCTGGTCTCCTATGTGGGTGTGGGGTCTCAATGACTTGGGTCATCTTCAGCTGCGTTCCTAAATGCATCAGCAAGCAGATGGTGATCCTAGGTGGAGCAGTAGGACTTGAAATGGTGCCCATATGGGATGATGGCACTGTAGATAGTGGCTTAACTGGCTGTGTCCTAGTGCCAGATGCCGGAGGTCAATGTTTTTAAAATGCTGTCTTGAACGGTAATCATTCAATAGTTTCTCATGACCTGACTAAATTCTAATGCAGCTCTTGTGTAATTAAAGTATAATGAATGCAAGCCAAGCAGGATGTTTTTGTTTGGGAGAGGACCCCTTTTCTTCATTAAAGATGCCATCGTAGGGAGCAGTTGTGTTAATGTCAATCTCACAGCCCATTCCTGATCCCATCTTACCTGCAGAATGTAACGAATCTGTTGTTTTGTAAACTCTGACAATCCTTTAGGAATCAATGATTCAATGTCTTCTGACTGTAAAGAAAGAGAAATTTAATCATTGAAAACACTAATAAGTTAGTCTTTAGGGTCTGCAGTCCACATAGTTTTGTGAACATAAGATATTTTTACGGATTTTAAAAGATAAATTCACTTTATGGAGAATGGTTTTTATAAACTCCAGGTCTATGTTTTTTTAGTTTTTAATTTTCAAATACCAATGAGATTATTTACATCATGGAAAGAACCCTGAATCCTGAGTACTTTGTTGAAACTCTACTGTTAACCATTAGATGTTCTTATTTTTTCATGTTAGATGTTTTTATTTTTTTCAGTTTTTTAAAATGGCCTATTATATTCTCTCAAAGACTTCATTCAGTGTATCTTTCAACAATGGGATTTTCTTTGATGACAGATACAACACTTTAGAGACTGCTTTTTAAATAATGAAAATGTTAGGAAATAAAATTAAAGGAGTTACATGGTTTACTGAAGATTTACAGAGAGCCATGGCGACTTTGCCAAATGATAATGTTGCTACAGCAACACTGAAAAGCTTTGACTAATTTTAAGTGAGAAGCTCAATTGAAGTGCTTCTTAAAGGCAATTTAGGACTTACTGAGCTATAATTAATGCAGTATACCAACACTGAAAATAAAGATAAAAATTAACACAAAAGAGGTAATTGTGCTTTTTTTAATGCATTGAAATAAGTCCTTTCTCTATTTGATTACATATTCCATTAAAACAGTTATTAACAAAACGTGCACACATAATAGAATTACTTTTATTTCAGGTTTCTGGCTACTTGACATGACGAATAAAAGGAATTGAAGTATATTGAAACTATTAGTTAATCATGTAGATTTCCATTTTTCTAATATGTATTATGTATTAGTCAAATTTTAAACGTTCTAGAGAGCAAAAACAAATTAAACCATAAAATAACAGCTGATAAAACTTTCTTGTGAAACATAGTCACTTTATAGCTATTACAAAGGTATAGATGATAGATAATTTTAAAGGTACATAGCCATTATTTATTTTAATAACCTGTGTTTCTTGTATAAAAGTAACAAAGTAAGATAACATGATTACTATAAATATCAATATGTATTGTGTTGTCTATTTTGAATTTCAACTAATTTTTGCACTTACCTCATCTGTAGACTCAACCTCTTGTTTGCTGCAAGAATGAAAAGACAAGATAGACAATCTTAGGAAACATCTTCCTTGGTCATTTATAAATGCTCATGTTCTATTAATTTTAGATTAAGTTTTGTGTGTTGTTGTAGCATGATTCAATTTGTAATCACCATTGATGATTTGCAACTAAAATAGAAGTTTTGATCAATTTGACTATACTAATTTGCCTGGAATTGGTTAATCTATTTGAAATGAACCACATCTGAATAAAAACAAAACAATAAAATATGCAAAATTGGTTAGTGCTATGCATTAGCACCAGAAAACTTGTGGCTAATATAGAAGCCCTTCCTGCTAGGCAATAGATGTTACCTTGGTAAATAAATACAAATGGCAGTTTCTCTATACAATTCTATCTCTATTTATGCCTTGCTGTATTGCTCCCTTTCAGTGCTGAATCCAGCTTCTACTATAGTGTTTTCAATTTCTTCATACCCTTTATCAAAATAAATACTTAACAAGACAGGAGCAAGTAAGGTATTCAGTCTATGTCAGAAAACATATGGCAGTGACAAACCTTGAAGTACATGTAAACTTTACATAGGGGCAAGCCACTAAGCAAAATAACCAAAATTCCAGTGGGATAATAAAATTCTCAGCATAAAAAGAGGGTTTGGCCATTTAGATTGAAAAACCCTTTGTGGAGCCCTGTTAGATAAGCAGAGCTGCCGAGTTCTTAGTGGTACATCAGATCTGACTCTCCTCTAGAAATAGTAAAAATTTTAGTGGATATGGTTCTAGTGTTATTGGGGGCAATATGCCCATCTGTTTTAGCCTACTTAAACCCTCTTCACACGGGGGTGGGGAAGTATTTGGCTCAAAAACACATATGCTGAACACACTTCTCAAACCACACAAGTACACATGTTCTGACAGCAAGATAGAATGTGTTAAAATAAGACAGTGTCAGCATGTTAGTGCCTATCTTTACCTTTTGAGTAATTGCTTATGAGTAATACATTGCTTACAGAGATAAGTGGGTCACTCATTTCTTGGAAAACTTCTTGTATACATTTGTAAAGATGTAAAAACTGATGTGGAAAAGATCTAAAGGATTCATTTCACCAGGCATGACTATATATGTGCATTTGTCTGCATATACGTATTTGGTATTTCCTATATTGCTCAAAATATAAATCCAGCAAAAGAAGAGAATAACTTCGGTATTTTATGTTTTAAAAACAAAGTTAAAAGCATGAATCACAAATTTTGATAGTATTAGTAGACCCTCTGTGTTTAAAAGTTTGTCACTGTTTCTCCCACTTCCAGTACTAACCAAGTTTCTCTGGTCACATTTTTCTATAAATAAGGTAATGACAATGATGACACCAACAGCAGCAACAACAAACAGAATGAGGACCAATCAATATCACTTAATGTTTTAATTTTAAAAAGTAACCAACATGCTTTCATGAGCTAATGTTCTTTGGTTCTAACTGTGCAGTCCGCGTATTTTTTGAATTGCATTTTGGAAAGAGAAGAAAAATGATGCAGATGAAGTTGCAAATGATGACGAAAAGGGAGAGGGAAACGGGGAGAAAAGGGAAGGAGAGGGGAAAGAGGGAGATGAGAGAATATATCAGAAAAGTGAGTGTGGATTACACAATCATTCAGGACTTGGGATAATGACGAGAATTGCTTAGGGCATAACAAGAAACAGAACGGCATTCCTCACATGCCCTATATTCCTTTCAGAAAGGAAGGAACAGAATGAGATTTAAAAAAAAAAAAGGAGGGAGAGAAATAAGAAACCTTTTAACAAACTTTTGAGCAGCAAAATTTTGAGAACTTCATCACTCTGATGTGACTACTAAAACAGAGACAGAAGTTTCCCATTCTTCTTTTGGTGATTGTAACTGTTCTAGGAGTCAAGTCAAGGCTCTTTAGTGCTTTCTTATATTAAATTCTCTTAGTGAGAGGAAGCTATTTCTAAGTTTTGGATTATACTTTTACCTGAAATATCTTTATGAAACAAATTAACTCACCTTGCTCAATTTCTTTCATTCTAATTAATACAAAATTAGAAACTTAGAATATATTTTAGGTTTTTTTCTATCAAACTTCACCGAATAGCTATTTTGCCAAAACCATGTAAAAGCTGGACTCCTGTTGGGCAACGCAAATATTGAATATTATCTTATCCTGCACTTCATACAAATGTAATAGTAAAAAGCTATCTAATTCTACGCTTTTAAGATTGAATTATTAAAATAATTGAAAGTTTTTCTACAATATTTAAAGAGTTTATCTATCATTAATTCCTATGGAAAAAATAGCTGATTTGCCTACTTGATTTCTCATCAAAGAAAGATTAAATGGTTAGAGTTCTTGACCCAGGCTTTTGACTTTGGCAACCTGTGGTTAATGGTTCTAAACTTGGGAAATTTTGCCCATTGCTGAGCCTAACCCATGTTTTTTAAAATAAATTATTTTTTCATGATACAATTCCTTAAGCTCAGGCATTTCTCCTTCCACCTCCCCCCTACCCCCACTGTTTTTTCTCCTATATTGTAACAACAGTTTAGTCCCTCAACAACAGTTACAAGTTTATCATTCTGCTATTTAAGTGTATCCTGACATTGCAAGTTACAGAATCTCATGATGTTTTGATTCTGCAGCTCCCATGATCCTGATGCTGTTTATAAGTGTATGTCTTAACTTAAATTTTACTTATAACAAACACAGGGGTTAATATTATTACAATCCCTACTTTACAGAGGAAGCCAATGAGCCACAGAGAAGTTAAGCAAGTTGTCTAATGTTACACTTCCAATGTGTAACAAAAACTGGCACAAAAACCCACTGTACAAATTCTAGATCCTTGTGCAACCCTCCCAGTTGTAGGGATAATGGCTACTGGATGTCAGATGGAGGATATGGCAGTAAGAAAGAGACAGAGCTAGTTGATACAAAGTTGAGATTTTGTGAATTGGAAGTAACAGATAAGTAGGCGAAGCAATTGATAGTGATTGGAAGAGAATGCAGCCATGAGTATGAAAGTAAGAAAAATCAGGAGAGAGAAAACCAATAAATGGAGAGAAATGGGTTAAAGAATACGTTAAAGTGAATTTATTGCAGGCACTAAATATATTATTGCCATGGAAAGGTGTGTGCTACATATTTTTGAGTGAAAATGTGTATAAATAGTATGTATGCATACGGTGCCACAATATTTATATGCATTTATATAAACTTGCATATTAAAAACTAAGAAGTAAAGCAGTGTAGTTTGTGAAAAATGTGGAACACCAAAACATCTCTCAACATGGCTGTTTCCTCAAGATTTTTCAATTTTTGTGAAAACTTTCATAGATTTTGCCTGATAAATGCCCTCATTGTACCATGACTGTATTATTAGAAGGAAACATTGGGATATAAATTATATATTCCATTTTATAGCATAATATTGTCTCACTTATACATGAAATATTGGTTCATTATTGATGTGTACAGATTTTAGCACATATACTTATATGCCATATTGCATCACCTAGCATATATTAACATATTTTATATATTATACATAATATTACTATTGCATATATATGTATATATACACACATACACACGCACACAAAGTCCTTAGATACATGACATAAGAAGTGTACATTAAATTCTGGCCTTCGTATTTTGAGTATATATCAGTGTAAGCAGTGATGTGTTGACAGTGAGACTATGTATTATACCTCACGCCATGAAGTATTTTCAGTTATATATATTTATTTATTTGAAAGGCAATGCCTTGCAAGTTCTGGGATTTGGGCCTGGTGCACTAGCCTAGTGGCTCAAGTCCTCGCCTTGCATGCGCCAGGATTCTATATGGGCGCCTATTCTAATCCTGGTGGCCCAGCTTCCCATCCAGCTTCCTGTTTGTGGCCTGGGAAAGCAGTCGAGGATGGCCCAGGGCTTTGGGACCCTGTACCCACACGGGAGACCCGGAAGAGCTCCTGGCTCCTGGCTTCGAATTGGCTCAACTCTGGCCGTTACGAGTGAATCATCCGATGAAAGATTTTCCTCTCTGTCTCTCCTCCTCTTTCTATACATATATATCTGACTTTGAAATAAAAATAATTTTTTTTTTTAAAGAAAGAGTGATGGGAAGAGAAAGTGAGAGAATTTCCTTTTGTTGCCATACTCTCCCAAATGGCCGCAACAGCCCAGGCTATGTCAGCCAAATCTAAGAGGCAGGACGTCCATCTAAGTTTCCCATGTGGGTGGCAGAACCCAAGTACTTGAGTCGCCACCTGATGCCTTCCACAGTGTGCACTGATAGGGAGATGAATTGGAAGCAGAGGCAGGATTTGAACTCAGGCACTGCAATATGGGGTGCTGGCATCCCAAGTGGTGGCTCAACTGCTCTGCCATAACTTTCTCCTCTTGCCATACATTTTTTGAGCTCTGTATCCAGCAGGTTTCTTGTACAAAATCAAAATAAGTTAGAGAACAAGGCACACAGAATTGTCTACTGATCCTCAAAAGACTTGTGTGAATCTAGATGGATTTCATAAACTGTATTAATCCTCTAAAGAGAACATTTGCTCAGATTTGCTCATGTAATTTTCATTACTGCATTAAAAGTACTTGTTTTTTGGCTGTGAACTTCCTCTAAAAATTAAGTTAGTCAAAAAAGAAGACTGGAATGTTGTGAAATGTTTGATGGTTATATTAAGGTAAATAATGTTTACAGTACCTTCCTCCAATTCTCTGCAAATGTTCTAACAAGCAGTGATACAGATCTGTATTCTTACGACTTAGATCAGCAAGAAGCTCTCCAAAATATTTGGGATCCAATTTCTCTGGGCCATCATCCTGAATTATTACCTGAAACAAACATTAACCAGAATTACAAGCAATATTATATTTTCCCTAAAGTCACAGCTATTTTGATGTGAATTGTAAAATAAAAAAAACAACATATTAAAATTATCACATGACTCAAGTTCGTGACTTTCCTTTGCATTTGTGATATATATTTTTTAATACGAGCGAAGTTGAAGAGAAAATCAACACTGCAATAACATTTTTAATTTTAGTTTGCCTGCGTGTAAGTAAACTAATGAATCCAAAACTTGAATCACATATCAGATTTTTAAAATGCTGCTACTGAAGTAAATTAATAAAAATGAATAAGTCTGAATATTTGATTCCCACTCTCACCACATTACTTACTCATCTATCTCCTGCGGGGAAAGAAACATATTTATTAGTTTAGTCATAGTGATTATAGAAGAAATATTTTCTTTAGGATTGCAGATTCTAAGTGAAAGAATTTGATATAACAGTATATTTTAAAGTGGGATTAAGTAAGCCTATTAAATCCAATGTATTTTTATGTATTTCCATTTGGACTTCATTCATTTCTTATTTGTGCTGAACATGTAGTCAATCTGACATGAAATAGAATAGCTGAGGACCAAGTTTAGGAATACACTTATTCTTAAGTGTATTGAATGATAAAATTAACTTTAAAATTGATCATGGACACTTCCCACCTGTCCTCTGAATATATACCTTAAAAAAATGTAGGCTGAGACTCATGGCAGTAAGGCAAGCAGAAAGTAAATAAATATAAGCTCTCATTTTTATATTGGTCAAATGAAACAAAATATACAAAATACTGGTCAGTTAAACAAAGCAAGATACAAAATGCAATGTAACGTCAGCATTTTTTTCCTAATTAAAGTATATATATGTATATTTATGTATATAATTTAAATTTGTACATACATATACTTAAATTTGGACCAATTCACACTAATTTCAGTTATCTTGTCCTTGTATGCTTTGGAATTACTGTGCAGAGGAGGTAAATGATTATCTCCTGCAATAAAGACTTCTTCTATCAACTAAGAATAGATGGGTAAATATGTCAAGATTATTATTGTCGGAACACAGCCCATGAGAAAGCTGGGACAGCGGAGGTCTGTGGGACCCTGTTGGGAAGAGGCTCCAGGAAAGAGAAGGCAGAAGGCCTCTCACCCACAGCGTACTCTTGCCCCCAGTGAGTCCTTGGATGTGCTTTCATGCTGTCCTTGAAGACAGGCTGACATCTGTGCTCTGTCTAGTCAATCAAGGACAGACAGTATCATCTAGTCCCTGTTACAGTAACCTTTTGACTAGATAGCCTTGTTAGCTTCTTTGTTGTCTCTGCATTATTAGACACGATCTAATTCTGAGTTATGTCTGAACCATTGTTTCATAAAATATATAAAAACCGAGACCCTGGAAATAAACTTTGTCAGTTGCCAAAAGAGAGTACTGTCCCCCCATTTCTTCAGGTCGTATTTCCTCCCCAAGAACCTGCAAGGTAAACTTGCAATTATATGTGCAAAATTAACAAATACTGTACATATGAGTATGTAAATATTGATACTATATGAAATAGATCTACAAATCTATATCGATATATCTATATGCTCAATATAAAATCTCTAAATGTTTACAAGAACACAGGCATACTTTCTGTTTCCCAAAGGATTGTCTGCTATAACTGTAGCCTGCACTGTCTGGGCAGATTTCATGCTGTTTCTGCGTCAAAGTCTTTACTCGTGCTGCCTGCTGACTAAAATAGAGATTCTCTTTCTTGTGCATCTAAAGCCTATCCATCTTTTGAAAACCACTTCAGCATTTGTTACCTCCGTGTAGGATATATTTATGTTAATCAATAGTCAATTAATAGATAATTAAATTATCTCTATGCACAATTACATAGAATTGTTTTCATATTATTTTGCAGATACGTGGCTTGTTCTCTCTCACCTTCTCCCGACAACAAGAGAAATAATCAAGAATTAAAGAATGAGTCATATTTTATCCAATATTACCAGCACAATGCTGATTGAATCCAATGTTGCATTGTAACCGCTTGTTAAATTGAAAGTTACCTACTTGATTAGAGTTTGCCCCAAATGCCAGCTGATTCTCAAAGGAATTTTCTTGCAGATTTATCTCTAATAGTAACCAGTGAATAATGGCAAAGAAAGTCAAAGAAGGAGTGGAGGCAACACTTCCTCAAGGATATTAAGAGTGATCCTTTGTATCCATCCCCAAAGTTAGGAGGAAGAGGCCAGTCTAACTGTAGTAACTCTTCATAGAGCTTGAGACTGACATTTCATTTCTACCTACGTTCTTGGGCATTGATCTCAATTATAGACCCCTTTCCAGAAATGAAGATCAAAATTAAGCAAGTTATTTTTCAGAATAATCATAAATATTTAATATTGATATGATTTTTGTCACAAGAATACATTTCCCCCTTATGAACTATGTATTTATCCATCGAACTGGGAGGAGCCTAAATGCACTTTTTCAAATTGGATTTTAAGAATCCAAGTGGGCAAGAGGGAAATATATGCTTTGTGTCACTTCACTCCATTGAGCCTTAGGTTGTTTCTATTGTTGTGGCTTTTCCCCCTTCCTTCCTCATCTCTGTGAATTCTTTCAAAGGTGATGACTTTCCCAAACAGAAGATAGGTCTGTAGTCAATTACATCTTAGTGTTGAGTTTCCTTGTTAGAATTTCCAGCCAACTGATATGCTTAGTACTTGCATAATTTTCTCTTAGCTGATTATAATCTCCTCACAATGTTGTGAAAATCAGGTTTCTATTCCTTCTAGTTCGATTTATTTGCCAGAGCAATTTCATAGTTGCAAGTTGTCTTAAAATATTTACTTTTTGTTTTAACATTTTAAAAAACACTCTCCTTTGAGGTTATTATAATTGTGTTTTTGTCATTGTTTGCCATTTTAGGTGCACAACTCTTTATACATGTGAATCTTTAGTAGCATCAACAAAACTATTGCTTAAGTAATTTCTAGGAGTTTTTTTTAAGCACCTAAATAATGAATCACAGAGACCTGGACAAGAAATTATCTATATTAACATTGTGCATATATTCAATGCTACAAACAGGTTTTAGAAGCTACAGAAGGGAAATGATCAGTACTTATGTTACTATGTAGTAAATATTAGATGAATCAATGCTCTTATAACCATTATTCCAAAATGATTTTTTATTATTTGTTTTTGTCTCTTCTAAATTTGCATTATCCCTAATTATATTATTTTGGAGGTATTTGGGGCTAGAACTTGAGAAACTCAGACATTTTGTTATCATAGAATGATATTATGCAAAATACAAAATAATTGAGCTAGAGAAAAAATATGAGGATTAAAATTTGAAACAGGGTTCTTTTGGTAAAATAAAGAAAGTGTCAAAGGAAAAATGTAGGAAGAAATCCTACTCTAATGAGTATGAAAAGATTCTTTAGATTTTTATAGTTGACAATTTACAACAGCAATTGAGTAATAGTAAAAACCCAAACCCAACTGAATTTAAAAACTTGTGAAGGGATAAACTCTGAGAATTCATATTTTCATCTTTTGTCAAGTGTTTCACAGGAATATCACTCAAGAATGAGGTGAAAATTCATAATCACACACTGTGATGAGATTAATCAGCAATATTTTTCATCGCTAAACTATAATTATGTAAGCTTTTCAATTTTTATGGAATTATTTGTGAGCATATTTTAGTGCAGCTTTTTGAGTTAACTCAAATCTATGTCCTTATTGCCATGAAAATTAAGAAAATATGAATGATTCAGTCCAGAATAATGGTAACCCCACAAGATGGGTGCTTGCTTTCTGTAGCAAAACTGATAGGATAGTGGATTTATAGTTGCACCCTGTATCTACACATCTGCCTGATGAATAAAACATGTCTCCAATGTCAATCTTTGATAATGACATTAACTGTTTACATGTAAACAGAACAAAAACACAAATTATGTCGAGGAATAGCTGTTGCCACATTTTAGAAAAGATTTGTTTGTTCAAAAATTATTTGAAATTATTTAATACACATCACTGAAATGTGTGTAATTGGATCATATTTAAATATATAGAAACAATATTACATTTAAAAAGGAAATCATGCAACTCACCAATGCTTTGGAAGTTGTATTTGTTCCAATCTGAGGCTTTGTTTCATATTTATGGTATATGTAATGACAGTACATAATAGGTGGAATTGTCTTGCTAGCCATGCATTATGTATGAAGTTTCATTCTCAAAGGTGATAGCTTTAATAAACCATCTTTTAAAACTGTGGTGGTATAGTGATTAGAGTTTGACAGATAGTAGATATGTAACAATGATTATTAGAGCTGATCTATTGTTATTAATACTTGTTTGGCTCCCTTCAGACTTGCTAGCACATATTTGTGCAAATGTTTTTTAAGCCAAGAAATAGTTTGTTTCAAGGAACAAATCACAATCCCGTAGAACAAGGTCTTGGCTTAATAAAATTTATTCCCACTAGGTAATTGGCTTAAGTGTGTTCATTATTTCACCTATTTAGAAGAATTGCTTAGCAGATTATAAAGTGCTTAAAATGCCATGCTATATAAAAGCGATTATATGTAAGTGCCTAGCACTCTAAAAGCTCATGAACACATTAAGTTACAAGATTTGCTGTGCTTATATCCACCTAGGTAGTAACTTTTGAAGTGTTTCATGACAGTTGAAAGTCTCATTACAACATGTTGATTATACATGTAAACCCACAAAGCTCATAAGGATATGATGACATCTGTGGATAGATAAGGTTACCGCTTTAATTTTTGTTGGTCTGGGGCAGTTAATGTCTGTCAGCCAGCTTCAAACCATAGTTAATCCAGTGGATATTTGTCCAGTTGAAAGCTAAATGCATTTAGGTAAAACATCATTTGTGTAATGGGATAAAAAATAGTTCCTTTCAACTTTGTACCGCAAGCAGCAATTATAGCCAGAAAAAATGCAAATAATGTAGGTCCTGGAAA